TCTGGGAGATTGTTATTTTTGGAGCAGTTTGTGCAGCCCTCTTGGGAACAGGCAATTCTGGGTTTGGTGATGTGTAATGAGGCAAACTTGACCAGGGAGATTCAGATTAAGGGAGTAGTGAACATTGAATGATAGCATTCACCTTAAGTTTGACAGGGAGAAGTTCGAGTCAGATGTAATGTATTAAATAAGAATGGCAGGAGTTTCTGTGGGTAATTCAGGAGGCACAGCAGAAATTCACCCCAAGAAAGAAGCAGCATACTAAGGAGAGCAGGCAGCAACCATGGCTGACAAGGGAAGTCAGGGACAGCATGGAAGCAAAAACATACAATGTGGTGAAGATTAGTGGGAAACCAGAGGATTGGGAAGCTTTTAAATACCAACAGTACAACTAAAATGCAATAGTGGGAGAAGATGAGGGTAAGCAAGCTGGTAATATAAAAGAAGATGGCAAGAGTTTTTGTTAAATATTTAAATAGGTTAGAGAGAGGCAAGGGTGGACACTGGACTGCTGGAAAATGAGACTGGAGTAGTAATGGGGAACAAATAAATGGCAGAGGAATTGAACAGATACTTTGCATCAGTCTTCATGGTGGAAGACACCATTAGCAAACTAGAACTTCAAGAGAATTGGGGCACAGATGCGTAGTGACTGTCACTAAGGAGAAGGCGCTGGGGAAGCTGAAAGAAACATGCAGCCTGGATAGACAAACCCAGAGTTCTGAAGGAGATAACTCAGGAGATTGTGGAGGCTTTGGTTGACCTTTCAGGAATCACTAGAGTTACGGAGGGTCCCAGAGGACTGGAAAATGGCTAAAGTAACACCTTGTTTAAGAATAGAGGGAGGCAGAAGACAGGAAGTTCTAAGCCAGTTAGCTTGGTCTCAGTCGATGGTAAGATTTTAGAATTTGTTTTTAAAGAATAGGATGCAAAGTACTTGGAAGTGTTAGAAAATAGGACCCAGTCAGCACAGCTTCATCAAGGGGAGGTCACGCTTGACAAATCAGTTTGAATTCTTGGAGGAGATAACATGCAAGTTAGGCAAAGGACAGCCAGTGGACATAATTCATTTGGTTTTCCAGAAGGCTTCTGACAAGGTGCCACTAAAGACAGGAGCCCATGGTATTGAGGCAAGGGCAGAGGATTGGCAGACTGGCAGTAGGCGGAGAGTGGGGATAAAGGGGTCCTTTTCAGGATGGTAGCCAGTGACTAATGGAGTTCAACAGGGGTCAGAGTTGGGACTACAGCTATCTAGTTAGTGCAATTCATCCCTATTAATGTCTAAGTTTGCAGACGTCACTAAGATAGGTGGAGAGACAGGTGGTGAAGAAGAAGCGGACTGGCTGGACGAGGACTTGGATAGGTGAGGAGAGTGGGCAAAGTAGTAGCTGATGGAATAGAATATGAGAAAGAATGAGGTTAAGCACTTTGGTAGGAAGATTAGAGGCGTAGACTATTTTTTAAATGCGGAAAGGCTTGGGAAATCTAAAGCACAAAGGGCCTTGGGAGTCCTGGTTCATGGCTGTCTTCAGGTTAACATGCAGTTTGAGCTGGCAGTTACAGAAGCAAATGCAATGCTTGCATTCATTTCAAGAGGGCTAGAATATAAGAGCAGAGATGTGCTACTGAACCCGAGAATGAGGTAATCAAATCCAACAGACCCGAGAGTTTAAATACCAGGCAGGAAAACACAACAGCGCTTCATCGGAGGTTGCAATGGTGATGTTAACCAGCAGGGTAATGAAATGTCTGCAAACTAACGAACCAGCCACAGAATTCATAGTTCCTTGAAAGGGGAGTCGCAGGTAGATACGATAGTGAAGGCGGCATTTGGTATGCTTTCCTTTATTAACCTGTGCATTGAGTACAGGACTTTAGAGGTCATGTTGCTGCTGTACAGGATCCTATTGACTGGGTCCTATTGGTTAGGCCACTTTAGGAATACGGTGAGAGATTCTGGCCTCTCTGCTATAGGGAGGATGTTGTGAAACTTGAAAGGGTTCAGAAAAGATTTACAAAGATGTTGCCAGGGTTGGAGGGTTTCAGCTATAAAGAGAGACTGAATAGGCTGGGGTTATTTTCCCTTGAGCATCAGAGTCTGAGGGGTGGCCTTATAGAAGTTAATAAAATTATCAGGGGTTTGGATAGGGTAAATAAACAAGGTCTTTTCCCTGGGGTGGGGGAGTCCAAAACTAGAGGGGATAGGTTATAGGTGAGAGGAGAAGGATTTAAAAGATACCTAAGGGGCAACGTTTTCATGCAGAGGGTGGTGCATGTATAGAATGAGCTGCCAGAGGAAGTGGAGGAGGCTGGTACAATTACAACGTTTAAAAGACATCTAGATGGGTATATGAATAGGAAGGGTTTAGAGGGATATGGGCGAAATGCTGGCAAATGGTACTACATTTATTTAGGATACCTGATCGACATGGGGGAGTTGGACCGAAGGGTCTGTTTCCATGCTGTACATCTCTTATGACTCTATTAGTAGGAGAGACTAGGACTCAAGGGCACAGCCTGAGATTGAATGGACAACCCTTTAAAACTGACATGAGGAGGAATTTCTTCAGTGAATCTGTGGAACTTACTGCCACAGAAGCTTATGGAGACCAAGTCATTGAGCATATTCAAGACCGAGGAAGATCGGTTCTTGATTAGGCAGGGGATCAAGGCTTACAGGCAGAAGACACGAGATTGGGGTTGAGAATTGGTGGAGCAGATTCTATGAGCCGAATGGCGTTCCTATATCTCATGATCCTACAGAGTCAATGATAAAAGATAGAATAGACACCTGATTAATCGTGATTTCATTGGGGAAAGTCACCATGTATTTGCAAATGCGAAATCATGTTTGATTAATTTTATTGGGAGTTTTCTTGAAGGTCTTATTAACAAAATTGATAAAGGAGAGTTGATGGACATAGTAGATAGTTAGAATAAACTTTTCAGACACGTTATAATGCATCTCTGGTGCAGTTGGAACTTGAAACTTGCCCTTCTGGCCAAGCAGTAGGGATAACACCACTGCACCAGAAACATAAACTATGTCCACTGAAAACTCAGTCCTGTCAGAACGATTTTGATTAATTCGATAAACCCATGAGAAATAGGAAAAGTGCAGGCTGTTCAGCCTCTCCTGCCTGCTTCGTCATTCAATAGGTTCATGGCTGATTTGAAACGCCTCACTGCTCTCTGTGGCTTGGAGTTTCAAAGACACTTAACCCACAGAGAAGAAATTCCTCCTCATCTCAGTCTTAAATTTACACCTATTTATTCTGAGACTACGCCTGAGGGGAAATTTTCTTCCCCATTAACTCAAGGGATGTGGGCATCATAGGATGGTCCAGCATTTATTGCCCATCCCTACATGCCCTTCAAAAACTGGTGGTGAGCTGCTCTCTTGACAAGCTACAGTCAACATTCAGTAAATTGATCCACAAAGCACTCTGAATGAATTCCAGGATTTTACCCCAGCAACAGCGATGTATTTCCAAGTCAGGATGGTGAGTGACTTGAAAAGGAACTTGCAGGTGGTCATGTTCCCATGTACCTGCTGTCGTTGTCCTTCTAGATAGTAGTGGTTGTTGGTTTGAAAGGTGCTGTCTAAGAATCTTTGATGAATTTCTATAGTGCATTTTGTAGATGGTACACATTACTGTTTTTAAGCATCAGTGGTGGAGGGAGTCGTTTCTTGTGGATGTAGTGCAAATCAAGTGGGCTGCTTTATCCTGGAAGGCGTTGAGCTTCTAGAGTGTTGGTGGAGCTGCACCCATCCAGACAAGTGGGAAGCATTCCATCACACTTCTGACTTGTGCCTTGCACATGATGGACAGTTTTGGGGCATCAGGTAGTTAATTTCTCGCCTCAGTATTCCTAGCCTCTGACCTACTCTTGTAGCCACTATGTTTACGTAATGAGTCCAGTGGAATTTCTGGTCAACAGTAATCCCAAGGATGTTGATAGCAGCAATGGTTAGATTGTCTCTTATTGGACATGGTCGGTGTGTGGCATTTGTGTGGCTCAATTGATACTTGCTACTGGATTTTGTCCAGGTTTTGTTGCATTTGAACAAGGACTGCATTCGAGGAGTCTCGAATGGTGCTGAACATTGCACAATCAATGACAACCACTCCACTTATGATGGAGGGAAGGTCATTGATGAAGCAGCTGATGGTGGTTGGGCCTATGAAATTATCAAGATGAACTACTGCAGAATGTCCTGGAGCTGGGATGACTGACCTGCAACAACTACAATCATCATCCTGTGTGCCAGATATGACTCCAAACATCCTCTCAGTATTTATCCTGTGAAACTCCTTAGGAATGCAAAATTTTTCAATGAAATCACCCCACATTCTTCTGAACTCCAGTCAGTAAAGTTCCAACCTGTTCAGCCTTTGCTCGTAAGACAATGCCTCCAAACCAGGGGTCATCCTAGCAAACTTCCTCTGAACTGCATCCAATGAAATGACGTCCTTGCTTCAACAAGAAGACCAAAACATATCTCAGTATTTCACGTAATCTCACCAGCATCTTGTACACTTGCCTTCAAATAAGGGCCAACATTCCATTCAACTTTCTGATTACTCGCTGCACTTGTACATTTTGTGCATAAGTACACCCAAGTCCCTTTGTGATTCTGCTTTTCTCCATTTAAATAATACTGTTCTTTTGTTCTCCCTTCCAAAATGAACAACTTTGGCAGCTGTTCAATCCATCATGCATGTGCCAGCTCTCCAAAGTGCTATTCTCCTGCCTGCACTCTGTAAATTTGCACTTTGATTGCTTTTCAAATAACTCCGCAATTCCCTTTCACATACCCAGGTTGAATTTGCCTCCATCACAGAAACTGAGTGCCCATTTGCAATTGTAAAAAGGAGAAGCCAAGGTTTTTATTTAGCAAAGCCAAAGTCAACTCTGAACAACAACTTCAGAAATCATCTCAAATGCAGAGGTAATTAATTGCATAATATATTAGAAACCTCAATAAAATGTATTACCTTAGTTACAGAGTCATTCACATTGATGGCAGGAATTTTAAGTTGTTTGTTCTTGTACATCTTATAGAGATTGTGCACTCCAGTTGTAGTCTCTTCAGAGATACCCTTGATATCTGCAGAATTAACAAGCAATCAGACTTTTACCGACTTAAACATGTCATGAACAATTCAAGGCATGAGGGGTTTGGGACAGGGTAAATAGGGAGATACAGTTCTATTTGGTGGAAAGGTGGGCACAGGTTTAGGGTAAGTGGCAAAAGAAGAGGAGGCCATATGAGGAAAAGCTTTTTCAAAGAGGCAGTGGAGAAGGATCTGGTGTGCGCTGAGTGCGTGATGGAGAAAGTTCAAGTGGGGTTTTCAAAACGAAACATTTTCAGGACACGTACAGGGAAATGGCGAGGATCAGTTCAAGGTTATTCGCTGTTTCAAAGGATAGTGCAAACTCTATTCTTTGATTCTATAAAGAGATCTCCAAATTTTGGCAGGGCAAAGCTTGAGTTAGTTGAGTGTGTAGTACATAGAACATAACAGCGCAGTACAGGCCCTTCGGCCCTCGATGTTGCGCCAACCTGTGAAACCAATCTGAAGCCCATCTAACCTAAACTATTCCATTATCATCCATATGTTTATCCAATGACTATTTAAATGCCCTTAAAGTGGCGAGTCTACTACTGTTGCAGGCAGGGCATTCCACACCCTTACTACTCTCTGAGTAAAGAACCTACCTCTGACATCTGTCCTATATCTATCACCCCTCAATTTAAAACTGTGTCCCCTCGTGCTAGCCATCACCATCCGAGGAAAAAGGCTCCCACTGTCCACCCTATCTAATCCTCTGATCATCTTGTATGTCTCTATTAAGTCACCTCTTAACCTTCTTCTCTCTAATGAAAACAACCTCAAGACCCTCAGCCTTTCCTCATAAGACCTTCCCTCCATACCAG